CCCCAAAACCCCAAAACCCCAAAACCCCAAAACCCCAAAACCCCAAATGCAAGTTTAAGCATTGGAATTCACCGGGTTTGCTTATACTCCAATTTATAGGAGAACTACTACTATCAAACAGCCAAAAAATCATATCAAGTACTAATATTTGAATAACACGAGCAGTTGCGAAAGGACTAAAAATCTTATCGAATATCTCGATTGTTTTAAGTTCTCTAACTTCACACCTCTTTTTCTCCTTTTTAGGTATCCCTTAAGGCTTATTTTGCGTGTCGGAGTTTTGGATATACGCTTCTAGGTGAGGGGGTTTTCCTTAGTCATGTCAGGCATCCTCAGCCACGCAGAATTTTGGGATGAAATTGTACATATATTAATTTCAAGTGTACTGAATCGCGAAATCCCCTTCTTTCGATCTCGTTTAGATTCCAACAATGAAATCTGAGGGTCAAGATTTAACAATTAAATGGAAGACGGAATCGTTTTAAATTTTTAGAATTTATTCAGCAATTTGGAAAGGGTCTTAGGACCAGTCAGTGTTCTATACTCTGATTGGGCTAAATTAGATTAAGGCTTAGTCTTGTCCATATAATCACCCATTCACCAACAGCATTTTTCATTATCATATTTGGAAAATTCAAATAAAAATCTTTAACCAACCGAACCTGATTTGACGTTTTAGGTGAACCCCTGATAGAGAATAGCTTTTATAGGTGAGAAAAAGACGCCAATTAAGATGTTAGCCTAGGACCTGTACCCACCCAACTCTCATAAGTAAAGCATCTAGGTTGATAAATAAAAAGCCAGCGCCCGTTCCCTCCTCAGGTTTTTCGAGTAAATTATTAATTAATAAGAAATAAATCAGTGATAGAGATGGATTCACTTTGCGTTATCAATTGATAACAAAAGAGCGAACCCCCTACACTTTAAAGTGTCTACCAAATAAGCAAGGGTGCACTTGCGCTATTTGGCAAACTTGCCAAGCCAGTAGCTCGGATGATACCAGGGGTCAAGAACTTAGTTGGTAACATTAGTGCTCGACCCGGATTTGTTAGATGGAGACTTTACAACTTTAGCCTCTTTTCAACCTGATTCTGGCTTCAGATTCTTCGAGCAAGCAGCAGGTTGAATGAACTGTTTCTCGTATCAGTCTTCTTCGTACTTAGTTCTCCTCCTTTGCATCTCATCGAAGATTAATTCCTCGATAGATTCATTGGAGGGAGCAAGCTGAAAATACTCGACCAGCTGATGGATATAGGGCCTTTGGTCTGGATCTTTATTTAGAAGCGCCAACAGAATTCTCCTAGTCTGGATTGTAAGACCTTTCCAGATGTCTTGATCACAGTCGAAAGGGCATGAATCAAGAGATTCATCCTCTTTGAATAGATCTAGGGTGCCTGTATAGACTACTTCCTCAAGGTGAATGGGAAACCTTTTAAAAAGCATTAGGAAAAGGCAAATACCTAGTGAATACATATCAGCCTTATATGCGTCAAAAGTTTCGTCTTGTACTAAATCACGAACCTCAGGTGCCATATATTTTGTGGTTCCTCTCCTGATTGAGACATAGGGCTGGTCGTTGATCTTAATAGCCGAACCAAAATCGGATATACGAATGTTGAAGTAATTATCAAGCAGGATATTGTCTAGTTTTATGTCAAGATGAGCGTACCCTTTAAGGTGAATAAAGTGAAGTGCGCCAATCAGCTGTTCCGCATAGTATGTAGCAATGTTCTCGGGCAGGGCAGCTTGGTTTCTCATGTAACTGATGAAGCTTCCATTCTCACAATATTCTATCATATGATAAGGAGCGGTTGTTAAATGGATTCCGAAGTTCTGTTTGCAAGCTTCAAACCCATCCTTTTGAGAACAGGCTCTTCTTCTCTTAAAAAGTTGGTAGCTAGAGAGAATATTCGGATGACCATTGAGCTCTTCCATAGTATCTCTTTCCCTTTGGAGCAGGAGTAGCTTTTTAGCTTGGGTAACCTTCAGGTCCTTCCTTGCGAATTTTGCTGCAAACATGGTATTATCCTTGATGTTCTTGATTGAGTAGACTTCTCCTGCTCCACCAATACCAAGAGTTGTTACTACTTGGTGTACTCTATTGATCATCATGCTAGAAGTATCTTCTTTCATTAACATCGTGAATATTTACAAATATTTTCGAGAATAATATTATAAATTCCTAGATTGGCCAATTAAGTAGGCAAATTATGGGGTTTTGGGGTTTTGGGGTTTTGGGGTTTTGGGG